CTCCCGGCTCTCCCCTCCCTCGCTCGGGACAATGGCCGAGCCGTCTAGACACCCCCTCCCCCCGGCCGGCCTCGCGCTTTATTTGCCAGACAAAGCGGGACCGGCGGCCGGGCCCGGGCGGGGGCTACGAGTACGCACCCCCACCTCCCAAGGGAGGCCTGGCGGGCGGCAGAGGGACGCGGACCCACCAGCCCTGACCAGGGGTCCCGGGGCACCAGTGTGGAGTTGGACGCTGGGAAGGGTGGGGGTGTTGAAGGGAACCACCTCCCCAGCCCATTCCTTGGCCCCTTCAGGCAGGACCGGGCAAGAGCTGCCGCCCCCGCGGGGCCGGTGAGCACACACAGCCCTGGGTCACACATACCGAGATGTAGATGTGCACACACAGAGTATACCCACAGACGTGCACATCCAGCTCACACACTGATGTGCACCAGCCAAATGCCTCACATGCTGCCTGCACACACTTGGACACATACAGACACAGATCCAAGGACATACCTACACCTAGCTCACACATGCAGACAGGCATATCCAGCCTATACACAGGCACACCTGTGCACACAGGTCCCGCATACAGACACACAGCTGTACACCCAAATACACAGTTCACATATATGGACGCACAACAGATCCATATGGCCCATGCATCTGTACACCCATGCACATTTCACACTCGCACATGTGCCTACACATCCCACAGATCATTGAGGCCCACAGTGTGGGTCACATGGCCTCCAGTATGAGTTCACAAACACAGGCCCCTGTCTGGTTGATAGTGTCTTGTCTCTGCTTGTCCCCTGAGGAAGGGGACATATGCCATGTTGGCCCATTCTCATGTCCAGCCCAACTCCTTCTGTCTCTCCCTTTCTATCTCTCTTTCTCTGTACTTCTCTATCTCTTCTTTCTGTGTCTGCCTGCTTCCACTTTCCTTTTTTGTCTGTTTTTCTCCATCTCCCTCCATCTTTCTCTCTCTCTGTGACACACACACACACACACACACGAACACAGTGGCCCCACACCTGTCAGCACACACAATTTTTCACTAGCTCACACCCAACCATGCCCCAGACCCATCTGGCAGGACAGTTAGACTACACCACACCCCAGAGGGACACAGCCCTCAGGGATGAGGACTCTGGACAGGGCAGCACATGTCTTGTGCCAGCTGCCCCTCCCTTCAACACACACCCTATGCCTGCAACACCCAGTGCTGGCTGCACCTGGGGTACATGCCCTGGCTTCTCTCCCCAGAGCTACTACGCAGGGCTGCCCTGCTGGAGAAGATGCCCAACATCACTGGACGGGAGACCTGTGGCCCCAGGACTCCCTGCCCCTACCTCCTCCATTACCCCAGGATCTGGGCACACAGACCCAGACCTCCCTTTAACACTGGGCACCCTCATTTCTTGCCTCAGTACCCCCCATTCTGGCAGCCTCCAGCGCCCCCACATCTGGCACAAGTCAGCGCCTCTTCCTGCCCGACCCTGCCTTGTGGTTCCCAGGGCTCAAGCTGGCAGGGACAGCTGCAGCCCCAACAGCTGGGGCCAGGGCAGGAAGGGGGGGCCGTGGGAACTGTAGATGCGGGGGCTCCCTGCACCCACAGAGACACCCCCAGTGCAGTGCAGCTGTTGCCTGGGGGAGGGAGAAAGGATGCCTGTCACTCCGTGCTGGGGTTCCTGGGCATCTGGCTGACCTGCCCACCTCCCTTTGCCCCCACACAGCCCCTCCTTGCCTGGATGGAAGCCCATGTGCGAATGGAGGTCGCTGCACCCAGCTGCCCTCCCGGGAGGCTGCCTGCCTGTGAGTGCCTGGCTCCAAGCCATCACTGGGCCCTGTGTGGGGAGGTGGTCTATCTTTTCTCCCTGCCTCTGTGTCCACCATGGATGCTTCTAACATTCCTACGTGTGTGTGGCTTGGGCAACCTCTTGTTTCCCAGTTGGAATCAGCAGGGTTAAGAGCAGGGGCTCTGGAGTCTGCCTGGCCTGGGTTCAAATCCTGTATCATGTTGCTGACTGGCTGGGACTGCAATTCTTTAGGCCTCACTGTCCTGGTCTGGAAAATGGGCCCAGTAACCCCAACTAAACAGAATTCTCCGCTGCCTGAGGTCACATGTAAAGCCCCTGATGGAGGTAGTTATAGTTCAATCAACAAATCTTCAGGGACCAATAGCAGTGGCTTTGCAGTTGTGAGTACACCATCTGCACCCTACTTTATCTCAAGATTTAGTGGTGGGGGCACAGGAGGCCTGTAATACAGCCCTGCTCTGCCACTTAATTGCTGTGTGACCATGGGTCACTTATTTCTCCTCTGTGAACCTCACTGCATCTGTGAAATAGGGGTGCTTCTCCCTGGCTTGTGACTACAAAGAGGACCAAGAATTTGGTTGTTGGATAATAACACAAGGAAAGATGGAGAGCTGGGGGGAGCAGGGCAGAGGCTGGGAGACAGCTGAACAGAGGCAGAGCTCAGTTTGAATTCTGGGCTCTGGGTTACCTTGAGCAAGTGCTTTGAGCTCTCTGAGCCTCAGTTTTTGCATCTGGAAAATGGGGCAATAATAGTTCCTTCTTTACAAGGTGATTCTACAGATTTAAATAGGTCCTTCATACGATGAACTCAGCATAGGGATTATTAGTATAAATAGTAACGACAGAAACAGAAAGTATGTGTCATAAGAGGGAACCTCTAAGACTATGAGAAAATGCTTGGTTCCTTTTATAATGTAATTGGTAATAGCAGTTCACCCAGTAGCCATTAATTGATTCATTCCAGCATTCGTTTATTCAACAACGTGTGATTTTAGACCTTGGAGAGCCCTTTTGAAGTTATACACGCACTTTGAGTGGAACCCCACTTCGGCTTACCTGGGTGGGGGGATTAGCTGGGCTGAGCGGGTTCCTCGGGTTGGGAGTCTGCAATGGTGGAAATGGGGGCAAGAGCGACCTGATCTGGAGCCACTCACCTGGGAGGCGGAGCCGCAGGGCCGAGCGCCTGCGCAGTGGAGCTCCGCTTCTGGAATACTGCCGACAGGTGAATGCGCCCGCGGCTGCCCCGCCCCTCGACAGGTGAATCACCGGCGCGCGCGGCTGCCTGGAGCCTGGATTGCCCGCAGTGGAGCGGGTTCAGTCCCCAGAGGTGGGCCGTGGGAACCACTCCCCACGCCCGCCCCCCACACCCCATCTCCTTCAAGGTCCCAAATACTCATGTCTTTACTGGGATGCCCCAATCTGTCACCTTCCCCATGAATACCCCAAGTTTCTCCCAAAAACTAGACTCCTAAACCCTTGTCTCTATCTCCCAGTCCTCGCCTCCCCCGCTAACCCCCCACAAGCCTGATCTCCCCCCGAGTCGGTCTCCCCCGAAACCCAGGCCGTGGGGCGGGGCTCGGGCGGAGGCTGGAACCGGCCCGACCGGTCGGCAGGGGCGCGGGGCGCAGAGCGTGGGAACACGCCCGGGGCGCCGGGAGGGGGCCGCGCGGCCGCGCCCTGCCTGGCGGTGGGACCAGCAGTCCGGGGCGCCCCGCGCAGCGCGCCCCCTCCCGGCGCGCAGTGGTGGCAGACGTCCTTGCCCTGGAGAGTTTTGGGGAGGGGGCTGGGAGCTGGGCCCTAGCCTCCTGACACTATCTGCGTCCCTGCCTGGCCTTGCCCCGACCTGTTTCGCTGGGGGCCGGGGTGGGGGGGGGATCTTGTGGATGACGCTAGGGACTGAGTCAGCTGCTCGAGTTTAGCCCAGAGCAACTGGGACAAGCCAGAGGGAAGGAGCAGCGCCAGGGGTGGACAGCGTTAGGGGTGGGGTCTGGACCCTCTTGCCTCTCCAAGCCCCTCTGACACACACACACACACACACACACCCCGCCGCCAGTGTTTCCCTGGAGATTTCCAGTATTAAGACCACCCCCTCCCAGTTCTTATATTTCCCTCACGCCCCATCCAGCTTGCTTTGGTGGTTTTGGAAAGGGAGCTGCGGGCCTCCCACCTACAAGAGGGCATCACTATTGGTGTCTACCTCCTCACCCCAGTGGAAAGAAGGGGCGTGTGTGTCCCCAGGAAAGGAGTAGATTTGTGGGGGGGTCCTCCTGTCTGTCCAGGTGAGAGTTGCCTGTATGTGTGACCCAGTCTGCCGGTTGGTGTCTGAGTATTTGCCAGGCCCATATGTGGAGTTGGTGCACCCTTCTGTGTGTGTATCTGTGTATGTATTTCTGGGTCTGTCTGTGTGTGCCTGGGAGGTTGTCTTCTGGAGTCAGACTTTGCAGTTCTCTCGACCTGGTACTCTCTTCCCCACGCAGATCCATGGCCCTCTCCTTTCCTTCAGTCTGTGAAAACATATTTGCTTTCCCCCCAGCTCTCTCTCCCCCTAATCCTGTGTCTTAGTTTCCTGTGGCTGCTGTAACCGATGACCCAAAACTGGATGGTTTAAAGCAACAGAAATTCACTCTCACAGTTCCTGAGGCCAGAAGTCTAAAATCAAGGGGTTGGCAGCCACACACTCTCCAATGGCTTTAGGGGAGACTCCTTTTCTCTTCCACCTTCTAGCAGTTCCAGATGTTCCTTGGCTTGTGGGTGCAACACTCCAACCTCTGCCTCCAAACAGCCTTCTTTTACTCCCAAATCTCCCTCTGCCTTTCTCTTAAAAGGATATCTGTCATTGGATTTAGGGCCCATCTGGAGATTGTGGGAGGATCTCATCTTGATAGCTGTCATTTAGTTATATCTGCAAAGAACTTTTTTTCCTATATAAGGTCACAGTCACAGGTTCTGTGGACATTTCTTTTCGGGAACCACCACTCTATACTCTATCCTCCATGGCCCTCATGGTCCTCACCACCCCCTGCTGGCAGGTTGTATATTAATTCATGATTTATATATCTTCTCTTCGCCCAATTTCACTGAGCATCAAGAGGGTGGGACCAATTTTATTATGTTTGCTGCTGTATTCCTATTGTTAAGAATATAGTAGGTCTCACGGAATAAATTGCATGCATGAATGAGTGTGTTTATTGCTCTGTTTGCCTGTGTGTTTCTTTCCTGTCTTGTGTGTATCTCTGTGTCTGGAGCTGTCCTTCCCTCATTGAGCTGTCTCTGCCCGCAGGTGCCCTCCAGGCTGGGTGGGTGAGCGGTGCCAGTTGGAAGATCCCTGCCATTCAGGCCCCTGTGCTGGCCGAGGTGTCTGCCAGAGCTCAGTGGTAGCGGGCACCGCCCGCTTCTCCTGCCGCTGTCCCCGTGGGTTCCGAGGTAAGGGAGGATCTGGAGGGGTGCCCGAGGCAGACAAGGGTGTGGTCTGCCCAAGCTCACCCTCTCCTGGTCCCTCCAGGCCCTGACTGCTCCCTGCCGGACCCCTGCCTCAGCAGCCCCTGTGCCCATGGTGCCCGCTGTTCGGTGGGGCCCGATGGCCGCTACATCTGCTCCTGCCCACCTGGCTACCAGGGCCGCAGCTGCCGAAGTGACATGGATGAGTGCCGGGTGGGCGGAGGGCCCTGCCGTCATGGTGGCACCTGCCTCAACATGCCTGGCTCCTTCCGCTGCCAGTGCCCAGCTGGCTACATGGGGCCACTGTGTGAGAACCCCACAGTGCCCTGTGCTCCCTCACCATGCCGTAACGGAGGCACCTGTAGACAGAGTGGTGATCTCACCTATGACTGTGCCTGCCTTCCTGGTGAGGGAACTATTCTTAAGGGAGGCAGCAGGGATTGGGGAACAGCAGGCCAGCCTGGCAATGACCATCCTTGTCTACTCCTCCCCTGCTAGGGTTCGATGGCCAGAACTGTGAAGTGAATGTGGATGACTGTCCCGGGCACCGATGTCTAAATGGGGGGACATGTGTGGATGGTGTCAACACCTACAACTGCCAGTGTCCTCCCGAGTGGACAGGTGGGTCCTGGGGCTAGAGGGAGCTGAGTGGGTGGGTGTGCACAGTCTGGGTATCTGGACTGGTGCACCTGTGTGCCACAGGCCAATTCTGCACAGAGGACGTGGATGAGTGTCAACTGCAGCCCAACGCTTGCCACAACGGGGGCACCTGCTTTAACACACTGGGTGGCCACAGCTGTGTGTGCGTCAACGGCTGGACGGGTGAGAGCTGCAGTCAGAATATTGATGACTGTGCTACAGCTGTGTGCTTCCATGGGGCCACCTGCCATGACCGCGTGGCCTCCTTCTACTGTGCCTGCCCCATGGGCAAGACTGGTGAGTAGCTATTGCCCCTGTAGGAAGCAAGGAAGCCATTGATGGTTATTGGGGGAGGGGGGGCAAGGATGGTGTCTGACTTGAGTGTTAGAATGATTATGTTGGAGGCCAGATTTGGGACAAAAGCATAAACCTAGGAGAAGCCTGGGTGGATAGCGGCATACAGTACAGGGCAGAAGCCATGGGAATGGAGCACTCTCCTGTGACCAAGAAAGAGAGGGGACCTGTGGAAGTGGCAAAGGTCAGAGAAGGTGTTCGGGAGGGGGACTTGGAAATGGAGGGAAGGGCATGTCAGGCAGAGGGTACTGAAGAAGCAAAGGCTTAAGGTAGGACCCTTTTATAATCAGAAAAAGACTTGACAGATTTAAAAACAATATGTGAACATTTTCAATTCATTTTGAAATGCGTCAGAAAAAAAAAACGATAGATAAACCTTACAATAGCTGCATCTAGGTGGTGGGTATATGAATCAACTTTTCTGTGTGTTTGAAATTTTTCATAATAAATGGGAAAAAATAGCTACGAAATACACTACAGGTTAATAAAAACAAAACACAAAACACTATGTTGGACTGTGGGAACTTTGGACAAAGCTGGAGGCTTTGCCCTCGACTTCTGCCTGCCCCTTTCCAGGGCTTCTGTGTCATCTGGATGATGCCTGTGTCAGCAATCCTTGTCACGAGGATGCTATCTGCGACACGAACCCGGTGAACGGCAGGGCCATCTGTACCTGTCCACCAGGCTTCACCGGCGGCGCGTGTGACCAGGACGTGGATGAGTGCTCCATTGGTGAGGGAGGCGTTGTCTGAGTCGGGAAGAAGACAGGTTGGTCCTCAGTTGCCCACACCCACACTGGCTGTGCCTATTCCCACAGGCGCCAACCCCTGTGAGCACCTGGGCAGATGCGTGAACACACAGGGCTCGTTCCTGTGCCAGTGTGGCCGTGGCTACACCGGACCGCGATGCGAGACCGATGTAAACGAGTGCCTATCAGGGCCGTGCCGCAACCAGGCCACGTGCTTGGACCGCATAGGCCAGTTCACCTGCATCTGCATGGCAGGTGCGTGGTGGGTGTGGCAGGGGCGGGGCCCGAGACAGGGGGCAGGGCCCTGAGGGAGACTCTGGTGGGACTGGGTTCGGAATGACACCCTGAGAGACTGAAGCCTGGGATGAGGTAGCGGTGGAGCCAGAGCTGAATTTCATGCGAGGCTGGGGGCGTGGTCAAATGGAGTCAGTAGAAGCTCAGGCTGGGAGTGGAGTCTGAACTTTAGGGTTCACTGGGGATGTGGACAATATGGAGGCAGAGGGTCTGGAGTGGTATCCAGGTGGAGCCTGCAGACAGTCTCCCACTAATGCAGGGGTGGAACTTGAGGCTGCGCACAAAGCTATGGTGGGTCCCGGGGCTGGGAGCTGGGGACAGAGCATAGTCCGCTGACTGGCAAGGGAAGAGGGTGGTCTGAAGGCAAGGTCCATATGGAGTCTCATAAGCCTTGGACCTGTTGGGACCACCGCTCGGTGAAGGTCCAGCCTGAGGACGAGAACTGAATCTAGGGTTGGGCTGCGGGCAAAGCCAACAAGGCTCAGGGGAACTATGAGTGTTAAGGGCAGTACCTCCCCTCTTGCTCTCCCTTCAGGCCAGAGAGTAGGCCCCACCGCCCTAACCCCCTCCCTTCCCCCACTACATCCCCAGGCTTCACAGGCACCTACTGCGAGGTAGACTTGGACGAATGCCAGAGCAGCCCCTGTGTCAATGGCGGGGTCTGCAAGGACAGAGTCAATGGCTTCAGCTGCACCTGCCCCTCAGGTAAGGACCCCGGGCCAGGGATCCTGAAAAAGATAGGCCCCATGCAGTGTCAAAAGTTCCAGGATGGGAGCTTATGAGACCATGTTAGCGGAAAACTATTACAATAGAAACCACATTATGAAAAACATTGAAATTAATTTAAAACTAAGCAAATGGGCTTCCTACCCAAACAAGGCAGGCCTTGCGAGGGGTGACTGCTCTGCCCTGTCTGGGCCTCTGTTCACCCCACTCCCCATCCCAGGCTTCAGCGGGGCCTTGTGTCAGCTGGATGTTGATGAATGCGCGAGCACACCCTGCCGGAATGGAGCCAAGTGTGTGGACCAGCCTGATGGCTACGAGTGCCGCTGCGCAGAGGGTGAGGGCCCGTTAATGACAGACTCCGCAAGAATCGAGATGGGGCTAGTGGGGAAGAGAGCCAATAACAGCTTGGGAGAAAGCTTGGGGGCGTGGCTGCAGCAAATGATCGCCAGGGGCGGAGCCAATGATAGACTTAAACGGAGGTGAGGCTAGCTAGGGGTGGGGCTAAAGAGTCTGGCTGGGCACTAGGTGCCTGTAATTGGGTGGGGAGTGTCCAACACACTACCTGCGGGCACCTCCCAAGAGTCCCCGTTTGCAGTTGAAGGAGAGGCACAATAAGGTTGATAGCGTAAGAATTGGAGGCGGGCCACAGCTGAGGGTGGGATTTAACTGTGGCAGTGGCTTGGCCAGGTGCGAGTCCTGGAGCCTAGAGCTGGTTGGAGTGGAAGCCAACTAGGGGTGGGGCCTGAACTGAGCTCGCCTCCTGCTGGCTCGATGAGCAGGGCCTGAGGTAGAGCTGAGCCAGGACTTGTTGGAGCCATAGCTGTGGGCAGGACCTTGGCAAGTGGGCGCAGCCTGACCCTGTGGCCCTGCAGGCTTCGAGGGCCCGCTGTGTGAACTCAACGTGGATGACTGCTCCCCGGACCCGTGCCACCATGGGCGCTGCGTGGATGGCATCGCCAGCTTCTCCTGTGCCTGTGCCCCGGGCTACACGGGCACACGTTGTGAGAGCCAGGTGGATGAGTGCCGCAGCCAGCCTTGCCGCCACGGGGGCAAATGCTTAGACCTGGTGGACAAATACCTCTGCCGTTGCCCTCCTGGCACCACAGGTGGGACCAAGGACTGGGCTGTGCAGGAACACTACATCTGGAGGGGCACAGAGGGTTTGGTAATGGTGCCTCTGGCGGGAAACAGTGGTGGCTACCTGTGTCATGTTCCCCTTCCTCAGGTGTGAACTGCGAGGTTAACATCGATGATTGTGCCAGCAACCCATGCACCTTTGGAATCTGCCGGGATGGTATCAACCGCTATGACTGTGTATGCCAGCCTGGCTTCACAGGTGGGCAAGCGGCTGCCATGCAAAGGGGGTCTTTAGAGGGTGAAGGTGGACTCATCCATCTTTCTTGGTCAGGTTTTGCCCCTTTCTTTGCACTTGTTTATCCAACGTGATTGTCCATGCTTTGCCCTGCGGTTTTGCTTTTTCTCATTGACACGAGGTTGTCCCCATATTGGCTCAAGTTTATCCTGGAACAGATGAGGATGCCTCGAAGGGATGGGGGTGTTTCTGAGTGGGGCCAAGATAATCCTTAGTGAAAATGAAAGTGACTTTAAGTTTGGGGATGAGGATGATCATTCTGGGGGAAGGCAGCTCTGGTTTGAGGAGGTGGCTATTTAATCTGCACAAGAGCTGATATATTATGAGAGTGAGAATGTCCTTGCTCAAGGGCATGGCCATGCTGAATGGGGCTAGGTTGTCCATCCCCATTAGCCCGATTGTTCTTGTCCTGGGATGAGGTTGCTTGCATGTTCCCCAGGGCCCCTTTGCAATGTGGAGATCAACGAGTGTGCATCCAGCCCGTGCGGCGAAGGAGGCTCCTGCATAGATGGGGAAAATGGCTTCCGCTGCCTCTGCCCACCCGGCTCCCTGCCTCCACTGTGCCTCCCCCCGAGCCATCCCTGTGCCCAAGAACCCTGCAGTCATGGTGTCTGTCGAGACGCGCCTGGAGGGTGAGGCCTCACCTCAGCCCCCGACCAGCCCCCCCCCCACCCCCTCGCACGTGCCAGCCCTGACTGCCTCCCCCTCCAGGTTCCGCTGTGAGTGTGAGCCTGGCTGGAGTGGCCCCCGGTGCAGCCAGAGCCTTGCTCAGGATGCCTGTGAGTCTCAGCCCTGTGGGGCCGGTGGCACCTGTACCAGCGATGGAATAAGCTTCCACTGCATCTGTCCCCCTGGTGTCCAGGGTATGTGTCCCCACCTTCCCTTCCCAGGATCCTTTGTCTCCCTTTTCCTTCTTACTTCTCTCTGCTCCAATCTCTTTTGTATGTTTGCCTTTGTTTTCCTTTCCTCTTTTCCCCCTGGAGCTTGGGGGTGGGGACCCTGGGGGGTGATGGGAACAAATAATCTTTCGAAATTACCTCACTCTTCCTGCCCACCACAGGCCATCAGTGTGAGTTGCTGTCCCCCTGCTCTCCTAACCCCTGTGAACATGGGGGCCACTGCGAGTCTGCTCCTGGCCAGCTGACTGTCTGCTCCTGCCCCCCTGGTTGGCAAGGTACACAAGCTGCTTCTTCTTCCTCTTCTCCTTCACCACCCTCTTCCCTGCCTCATACTGGGTGATGCTGGTGACTCACCCTGGCCCTGTCTTTTAGGGGAGCTTCCTTCTGGGAAGGGACAGAGCTGGACAGATACTTGCAGCCGCTGTGGTCAGTTCTGGAGAAGAGGAAGGGATATGGAGAAGCTAGGTCTCAGGCTGAGGGTTTGGGGACAGCTTCCTGGAGGAGCAGATCTTTTTTTTTTTTTTTTAAAGATTTTTTTATTGGGGAATTGGGGGGAGGGGAACAGTGCTGGGAAATTGGGGGAAGGGGAACAGACAAGTTGCTGTCGTTTTGTTCTTCAGTCTAGTTGTGGAGGACGTTGCTTCACTGGCCCAAGTTGGCACCATCATTGTGCTCTTCCCGGGTGAGGCAGATCAGTCGCCAGCTTCTGGACGGCCGCTCACTGCGGCTGCTGGCCACTCACGCTGGCTGCTGGCTACACACGTTGGCTACACATGTTAGCCCATGGCAACCCACTGCAGCAGGGGCTGCAGCCTACGCCGTCCCCGGCGACTCATGGCAGCCCAGCTCCAGGTTGAGCTGTTGTTCAGCATCTTAGCTGTAGAGGACAGTGTCACTGGCCCTCATATGTGGGATCCGAACCGGGGCCCTCTGGCGTCCCAAGCCAGTTCTTAACCATCACGCCATTTGGCCGGCCCCTGGAGGAGCAGATCTTAATCAGAGAATGTATTCCCCACTCAATGAAGCAAGAAGGAAGTTCTAGAATAGTATGTGCAAAACATCCAGAGGCAAATGACAACATAGCTTGTTCTTGCATTCACCTATCTCAGCCTTCAGGTTCTTCCTGAGTGACAGGTACCCTCAGACCCTACTCTGCACCCTCTAACCCTAGATGTCACCTTACTCCCCCTACCCCAGGCCTGAGATGCCAGCAAGATGTAGATGAATGTGCCAGCCCCTCACCCTGCGGTCCCCATGGTACCTGCACCAACCTGGCGGGGAGTTTTAGCTGTACCTGCCATGGAGGATACAGTGGCCCTTCCTGTGACCAGGACATCGATGACTGTGACCCCAGTGAGTGCAGGGGAGCTCTTGGGGGATGCTGCCTAAGGAAACATGTTTATGAAGCACATACTGTGTGCTGGCCAATATGCTTTCATTTCATCTTCATAGTTTTCTTCCTCTCCCCATTTTACTCATGCAACTGAGGCCCAAAGAGGTTAAGTGACTTGCCTGAGGTCACATAGCAGGTAAGGGGATGAGCTGGGATTGGAGCACACGTCTGTCTGACTCGGAAGCCTGTGCATTTTCTCTGGCAGCAAAGCGAGTTAGGATTGTGTGTAAAGTATGCGATAATAGGCCCCCAGCGAGTTCTCCAGGAATGCTGTCCAATAAACAAATAACCCAAGCCACATATGCAATTAAACATTTTCTAGTACTCACATAAAAAAGTAAAAACAAAAAACAAAAAAGGTGATATTAAATTTAATGATATATTTATTTAACCTAATATATAAAAATTATTATTTCAACATGTAATCAATATAAACTTAAGATAGTTTGCAATCTTTTTTTCATACTAAGTCTTCAGAATCCGAAATCTGGTGTGTATTTTAACTTACTGCACAGTCTCAATTTGGACTAGCTACACGTCAAGAACTCAACAGCCACATGTGGCCAGTGGCCACTATACTGGCCAGCACAGGTCTGGAGGAGGCCTTCTGTGCTGAGTCCAAGAATTAAACAGACACAACTAACAGTATGTGCTTGGCAGCTCAAAGAGAACTTTTGGTTCTGCCAACCCCTTCCCCCTCCACATAGGTACATAGGTGAGATAAGGGAGGGAATGAGGCAACAGAGGAGACAGAATTCGATTCCTCTGACCAAATGTGCCCCTCCCAATTAAGCCTGTTTTCCTCCCAAGTGCCCTGCTATGCAAGGTATGGCTAGGTCAGGCAGGGCTGATGGGGTGAGGCGAGGTGAGTGATCATACCTCCTCCCTGCTGATCACAGACCCCTGCCTGAATGGCGGCTCCTGTCAGGACCGCGTGGGCTCCTTTTCCTGCTCCTGCCTTCCCGGCTTTGCTGGCCCCCGCTGTGCCCGTGACGTGGACGAGTGTATGAGCAGCCCCTGTGGCCCAGGCACCTGCACTGACCACGTGGCTTCCTTCACCTGCACCTGCCCCCCAGGCTATGGAGGCTTCCGCTGTGAGCAGGACCTACCTAACTGCAGCCCCAGGTGGATAGGGCCTCTACTGGAAGCTCCGGGACCCTGATGTTGGGTGGGGCACAGGACCTGAGAAGGAGTGGGGACAAGAAGGGGGATCATCGGCTTGGCACCCACCTTAGGACTCTGATGCCTGATGGGGCACTGTGTGGGAAGGGGCAGATCATCTTAGAGACTCTCGTCCCTCAGCGGGTGAAGCCAGACCAGAGTGGGGGCCTACACGTGGCTCCCACCTGAGTAGTGAAGTACCTGGTAAACTGGAGTTAAGGGATAGGACCTGGCGGTGCCTCCGCTGGGGCTGCAGCCTCTCTTGGAGGGTAGTGGGGAGTAGTGGTCAGGAAGTGAGCCCATGCAACTCTAGGCGGGGCCTAGGGGAGGGTGGGGCCTGTGAGAAGGCGGGGCCTGACCCACCCTCATTTCCCCTCCAGCTCCTGCTTCAATGGTGGGACCTGCGTGGACAGCGTGAACTCCTTCAGCTGCCTGTGCCGCCCTGGCTACACTGGTGCACACTGCCAGCACGAGGCCGATTCCTGCCTCTCGCGGCCCTGTCTACACGGGGGCGTCTGCACTGCCACCCACCCTGGCTTCCACTGCGCCTGTCCAGTGGGCTTCACAGGCACTCAGTGCCAGGTGGGCGGGGTCACTGGGGGCAGGGTGGAGGAGGAGTCTAGAGGGGTGTAATTGGAGAGAAGCCTACATGGGATCCTAGGCTGAGGTCTTCTGGGTACCCTGGGGGAGAAGACTGCCTGGGTCCTGCGGGGAGGTTTGCAGGAGGTTGTGGTGAGGAGCCTGGCCCGGACCCTGGGGGAGAACCTGGGTCGCAATTTCCGCGGGTCCCTGAGCGCTGACACTGTGGGCTTCCCTTCCAGACGCTGGTAGACGCGTGTAGCCATGCTCCCTGTCAGAACGGGGGTCGCTGTGCTCCGACAGGGACCTCTTTCCATTGCCTTTGTCCTCCGGGGTGGAGCGGCAGCCTCTGTGACATCCAGAGCCTGCCCTGCAGAGAGGCTGCAGCCCAGATGGGTGAGGGGGAGCACTGACCAGTGTGTACAGATTGGGAGGGTGCATGTGCATATACTTCCTGCCAGCGTGAGCCCAATTAGGGTGCAATGGAGCATATGGGCATGATGTGTATGGCTGAATGTGTGTAGGTGTGTGACTGGGACAGTCGGCCAGGATGGTATGTGTGTCTGTCACTGCAAGACAACTGGGATGACATCTGTGTGTGACTGAGCTGGTGTGTGCAGCGAAGGTGTGTGTGTGTGTCAGTGACTAGGATTGTGCAGTTGGGGGGGATGCATGATGACCTGATGGAGTGTGGTGGGACCCTGGTGACTGGTGGCAGCAGGGATGTTGGGTGGTGCTGTGCATGATGGGAGCAGGGAGGGGAGAGTGTGTTCCTGAGGTGGCTCTCTGTGTAGGGGTGCGGCTGGAGCAGCTGTGTCAGGCTGGTGGGCACTGTGTGGACAAGGACAGCGCCCATTACTGCGTGTGCCCAGAGGGCCGCACAGGCAGCCACTGTGAGCAGGAGGTGGACCCCTGCTTTGCCCAGCCCTGCCAGCACGGGGGCACCTGCCGAGGCTACATGGGAGGTTATGTATGTGAGGTAAGGGGCACCCAGGGGAGGGGAGAGGGGAACTAGTCACATCTGGGTGTGTCTGGACACGCATTTCTGTGTGTCTGTAGGGTTTTTGCTTTTGTGACTGAGTATATCTTTGTGAGTGTCACTCTGGGTAGATCTGGTGGTGTTTCTGTCTGTTTGGGTGCACCTCTGCCTTTGGTTGGTTCCTGTGCCTATCTATATGTCTCTCTGTGCATGGTGTCTCTTTGGGTGTGAATGCATGTGCGGGTGTCTGAGTGTGGTCTCTGGTTGTGTGTGTCTTGGGTATATCTGGATATCCAGGTGTTTCCTCCTGTGTGTCTGTGCTTTGTGTTTGTATGTGTGTGTCCGTCTGCACTGGGTATGTCTGTGGCCCTCCATGTCTGGGTGTCCTTCTGTGTTTGGGTGTGTGTTGTCTGTGCACTGGGCATGTCTCCATGTGTTGGATGACTGTGTGTGTCCTTTTGTGCTGGGATTCTCTGTCTTCACGGAGAGTGTCTATGTCCCTTGGGGCTGAGTGGATCCCTGTCTCACCCCTACCACAGTGTCCTGCTGGCTACGCAGGTGACAACTGCGAGGATGATGTGGACGAGTGTGCCTCCCAGCCTTGCCAGAATGGGGGTTTCTGCATTGACCTTGTGGCCCGATATCTCTGCTCCTGCCCCCCTGGAACACTGGGTATGCCAGGGTTGGGAAACAGGCTGTGAGGCTGGGTCTCTGTCCCCTCCTGACTGCTACCCCATCCTCCCTTCCCCCAGGTGTGCTCTGTGAGATTAATGAGGATGACTGTGGCCCAGGCCTATCCCTGGACCTAGGCCCCCGGTGCCTGCACAATGGTACCTGTGTGGACCTGGTGGGTGGCTTCCACTGTACCTGCCCCCCCGGATTCACTGGCCTGCGCTGTGAGGCAGACATCAACGAGTGTCGCCTGGGTGCCTGCCATGTGGCACACACCCGGGACTGCCTGCAGGACCCAGGTGGGGGCTTCCGCTGCCTTTGCCAAGCGGGTTTCACAGGTAAGCATGGGCAAGGGGGCTGGCCTGGGATCTTGCCTGTGTCCCCTGCTGTGGCTGATCCACTGGCTACTGCTTGCCCAGGTCCCCGCTGTCAGACTGTGCTGTCTCCCTGTGAGTCCCAGCCATGCCAGCATGGAGGCCAATGCCATCATGGCCAAGGTCCTGGGGGTGCACTGACCTTTGCCTGCCATTGTGTCCCAGTAAGTAGGGGTGGCTTGTCACATCAGGGTTTATGGGAGAGGAGTGGGAACATGGCCTGGTGGGAAGATGTGGCTTTAGGGGAGAAGGGGTGGAAGGGAAGGGGTTTTCTGGGAAATGTTGACATTACCTGGAGGAGGGTGTGAGGCTGGGGTTTGGAAGCATGGCCTCCTGGGGAAGGTGAAGCTTATGTGCAAGGTGGGTCTTGCAGTGGGGGAGAAGTTTGGTAGAATCTGGGGAGATTGGCTGCTCAAGCAGTCCCAAGTCTTGACACTCCTATCCTCTCTCTCTCTCTCTCTCTCCTTCCTTTTTCTCCCTTCTTCCACCCCCCACCCGCCCCCCTGCCCCGTGTTTATTTCTCTTTCCCCCAACCCCACCTTCAGCCGTTCTGGGGCCCGCGTTGCGAGAGGGTGGCCCGCTCGTGCCGGGAGCTGCAGTGTCCGGTGGGCATCCCGTGCCAGCAGACGGTCCGTGGGCCGCGTTGCGCCTGCCCCCCGGGGCTGTCGGGGCCTGCCTGCCGTGGCTTTCGGGAGTCCTCCGCTGGGGCCACCAATGCCAGCTGCGTGCCCTCCCCCTGCTTCCACGGGGGCTCTTGCCACCCCGAACCGTCGGCGCCCTTCTTCCGCTGCGCATGCCCGCTGGGCTGGGCCGGGCTACACTGCGAGGTGCCAGCGGTGGCGCCGGAGGCCCCTGAGGAGCCGCTGTGCCCGAGCGCCGCCTGCGAGGCCAAGAGCGGGGACAAGCACTGCGACCGCGAGTGCAATAGCCCGGGCTGTGGCTGGGACGGCGGCGATTGCTCCCTGAGCGTGGGCGACCCCTGGCGGCAATGTGCGGCGGTGCAGTGCTGGCGCCTCTTCAACAACAGCCGCTGTGACCCCGCCTGCAGCTCCCCAGCCTGCCTCTACGACAACTTCGATTGCAGGGATGGCGGCCGCGAGCGCACCTGCAAGTGAGTCCCTCTGTTTTCCTGTCTTTCTGTCTATCTGTCTGTCCGTGCATGGGCCCCGCCTTTCTTCCCGTCTGTCCATCCGTTCACCCCAGTCTGTGTCTTGTCTGATATGTGCCATATCTGACCATCCAATGGGCCCTGCCTCTACCTGTCCATCCATTTGCCTTGATCCATCGTTAAGACTGTCTGCTGGGTTGTCCATTCATTTGCCCCTACTGTTTCTTAGTGTACCCTGTCTGCCTAGCCGAATGCCACTTCTGTCTGTTGGTCCACCTGTGTGCCTGCCCTCTCTGTTCATCCTGCCCTGACTGTCCCAATGTTTCCATCTGTTTGTCCATCCATGTATCCCACCTGTCTGTTTTTCCGTCTGCCTCTGCACTCCATCTGTCTCTCCTTGTGCCCTGTTTGTCGGTCTTGCTGTCCATCCATGAATTCTTTTCGACCCTCTGTGTACCCAACTGTATGTTGTCCATTCTTGGCTCTCGTCTGTGTATCTGTCTATTCATATGCCCGTTTATCTGTCTATGTGCCTCATGTATCTGTCCACCTTTGTGCCCCATCTGTTCATCCATGTCCTTCTTGTCTGTCCTTTCGTCCCTCCATGCACTCCTTTTTGCCCCTTTATATGCCCATCCATCTGTCCATGCCTGTCTATCCCTGCCTCGCTTCTGCCCCTCTCTATGTCTGTGCATGCCCTTGTCTGTCTGCCCCATGCATTCCATCTTCCATCCTGTGCTCTGTCCCTTCTGTCCCACATTGTGTCCCTCTGTCTGCCTGGACTCTTTCTCTCACGTTTATGTACCTGTTCTCTTCACCCCTCCTCTCCCTCTCACTCATTATTCTTCAGTCACCCTGGCCTTTCTGCATTTTCTCCCATACCCCGAGCTTGGTCCCACCTGGGGGCCTTTGTACTGGCTTTTCCCGCTGCCTGGTGTACTCTTCCTTCAGGAAGCCACATGGCTCCTCTCCTACCTCCTTCAAGTGTTTGCTCAAACAGCCATACTTTCTCAGTGATCTCTCTGGCCACCCCCAGCACTTCTCCTGCTTTATTTTCCTCCTTAGCATTTAATTCCATTTCTCTCTCTCTTTCTCTCTCTCTTTAACCTCTGTCCCCACCCATTTGAATGCCACCTCCACGTGTTCAAGGATCTGTGCCTGGACATACATACCCTGGGTGCCTACAGCAGCACCCAGAATCTGGTAGACTTCTAGCAATAGTGATTTATTAATAGTTACTGAGCAAAGGGATTGGATTTTCAGGAAAGCCTGACACATGCGGATACATTCTAGTCCTCTGCTCACTGTCTGTCCCCCTCTGTCTCCAGAGTCGGGGTGCTCTGTGCTATGTGTGCAGGGGGTCGGAGGCCCCCTGACAGTGTCCCCTCTCCACCCCCAGCCCGTTCTATGAGAAGTACTGCGCGGACCACTTTGCGGACGGCCGCTGCGACCAGGGCTGCAACACGGAGGAGTGTGGCTGGGATGGGCTGGACTGCGCAGGTGAGGTGCCGGCCCTGCTGGCCCGCGGCGTGCTGGTGCTCACAGTGCTGCTGCCGCCCGAGGAGCTATTGCGCTCCAGTGCCGACTTCCTGCAGCGCCTCAGCGGCATCCTGCGCACCTCGCTGCGCTTCCGCCTGGATGAGCGCGGTCAGGCCATGGTCTTCCCTTACCACCGGCCTGGCCCTGGCTCAGAAGCCCGGAACCGGAGGGAGCTGGCCCCTGAGGTGATCGGGTGAGTGGTTGGTTCCCCCCTGAGGAGCCATGGGGGCTGCTCAGGCACTGAGCATGGGACGGGAGAGGGGTACCGTGGATCAGGTCTGGTGTGTTTCCACTTGACATCTTGGGGAGTCTTCTTGGCAGTAAGTCCAGCACATCTCAACCTTGATAGCATTTATCTTTGGGGCCAGATCATTATTTGCTATGGGGGGGGACATCCTGTGCACTGTTGGGTGTTGAGCAGCATCCCTGGCCGCCCCCAACTAGATGCAAGTAGCACCCCACCCCTAAGATGTGACAGACATGGTCAAGGGACCTTTGGGGAGCAGGATTGCCCCTGGATATAGAGCTACCTCCTTCTGGAGAGGCAAGGGTGTAGCAGAGTGGTTAAGAGCACGTGTAGTTTTTTGTTTATTTGTTTAGAAATGGAAAATCTAGAACTCTCCTGCCGGTGACCTGGTAGAGGAGCAAGAGGGAGGTGTGGTCTTTGAGCAGGGTGGGGCCCTGACACAGAGAGGGGGGCTGGATTTTAGAGATGTGGGGGCTCATGCTCTGACTGGGTATCTGGACTAGGGAAAATGGAAGAGAGTGTCTGATGTGCCAGTCCCTCGCTGGGGTGAGTGGCTGGAGGACGTCTCATCAAACTGAAGACACAGGGTGAAAAGTCGGGGTTGTTTTGGGGCTTGAAGAACCTGAGGAGTCTGAGGGTATCGTGGAGACCCCCAGAAGGTGATCAGGGACTGAAGACAGAGAGAAGAAAGACAAAGGAGAGCTGACAATCATTGAAGCCGTGGGAGGGACTCAAAGAAGTGGGGAGAGAAATGCGGATAGAAGAATGATCCTGGGACACTGAGACCTAAGAATTGGATGAGGGAAAGTAGATCAGAAAAGAGTGTTCCCAAGCAAGGACTCACCGGCTTTTGAGAAAAGAACGGGCTTTTATTTGCAAGTTTGGCTCGCAAGGAACCAGGAGGCAAGACTCAAATCTGTCTCCCTGATCCAAGGTTTGGGGCAATATTTAAGGGGTTTCACACTGGATCTTCCTGGACAATAGACCCTTTGCTTCTGAAGGGGTTTTGGTGTTCAGGTTCCGGTCATGTCCTTGGGTTCCATGGGGAGAGCAGTTAAGGGTTCACAAGTGTTACTCATGAGTTATGTCCCCAAGTGTTACTCATAAGTGGGGTAAACGTTACTTCCAGGTCTTGTTAGAAACAGGATAGGACCAGTTTGAATTGGTACTGTGGCTACAAGAGGAGAAGGGGCAACTAGAGAAACAGGAAGAGATCAGGATGTAGGGTGTTGGGGACCCCAAGGAAAGAGGGAGTTGGAGAGCTGGGGTCTTGGAAGCAGAGCCTGAGATGGGGATTCAGATATGTGTGCCCTATTGAAGGAGTGGTCTCAGGGGAGAGGGGTGAGGGCAGCAGGATGGGGCAGGGGGAAAACTGAAGCAAGGGTCTAGCTTTAGTCTGATTCCTTGGAGAGCTCTGGAGCGTGAATAGCACCTCAGCGTCAGTCTCACCTTGAGACAGGAGGGCCAGCTTTTGTACACCCTGCATCAGCCAGTCACTGGCTGAGGGCTGTCCTAAGGGGTGTCACCTCCCAAGGGAGGGGGTTTCCCACTTTGCTGAGAACCTTCTTCTCCGGAAGAAGGGGTGGCTGTCAGCTGTTAGAAGCCATAGTAGTTGGGAGATGGATGCACCAGCCTGATACAGGAGATCTGGGCATGTGCCTACAGCATCCATGAGAGATGTTGGCATGAAAACAATGCCCACTGGAGTCATGGTTCAGAGGACACTGGTAGCCAGGGCAATACTGGTTTTGGGGGTGGGGTTGGATGCCAGATGGCGGCAGGTGGGCCATAGCGACATGGTGAGTGGACACAGCTCGTTGGAGCCTGGCGCTGGGGATTGGTGCCAGGCTGGCAGCAGGTGCCCCATTGAGCCAACCTGTCCCAACCCTGTGTCCACACAGCTCCGTGGTGATGCTGGAGATTGACAACCGGCTGTGCCTGCAGTCACCAGAGAATGACCACTGCTTCCCCGATGCCCAGAGTGCAGCTGATTACCTGGGAGCACTGTCCGCAGTGGAGCGTCTGGACTTCCCGTACCCACTGCGGGACGCGCGAGGTAAGCCTGGCGTGTGGGTGACCAGGCTAGAACTGGGGCTCTCACGGTGGGCTGGTCCTGGGCCATGGCTGAAGTCCCCATTTATTGTCCACAGGGGAGCCGCTGGAGCTGCCAGAACCAAGTGTGCCACTGCTGCCACTGCTGGCTGCCAGCGCCGTCTTCCTGCTGGTCATCCTCATCCTGGGCGTCATGGTGGCCCGGCGCAAGCGTGAGCACAGCACCCTCTGGTTCCCTGAGGGCTTTGCACTGCACAAAGATGTGGCTGCTGGCCATAAGGGCCGGCGGGAGCCTGTGGGCCAAGATGCACTGGGAATGAAGTGAGTCCCCTGCCCACTCCCCATACCTGACTTGATGGGTCTTATGAGCCCTTGAGCCCACCTTGACCTGACTCTGATTTCTGACCCCATCTGGACCCTAACGTCTGACTTCAGCCTGGATCCCAGTGTCCATCCCCTTGACCACTGGCTGTATGAACCCTGGGGATCACCCCTGATTCGTTACCCCCTGACCCCACTTTCTATGTCCCAGATACCCTGACTCAAATCCTATCCTGACCCTACTCTGACCCCACCCTGATCCTGGCCTCTCAGACTTTACCCTGATATTCAGCATTCATTCCCTCATGATTGCTGACCCCATGACCCCTGTCTGTACCCCAACCTATCCCTGACCCCTGACCTCTCTCTAGCTAACCCACACTGACCTTTGACCTTCCCTTCTGACCCCCTTTTCATCCCAACTCAGTGTCTGTTCCCCATAATCCTCAATGTTGGCCTTGACTCTGGGCCTCACCTTCAACTCCCTGACCTGTCTCTTAAGACCCTCAACCCCACCCTGACGTAACCCCTTTCCTGTGACCCCATGACCCCCTGGCCTCTTTCCACAACCTCTTCATCTTGGCTATATCTCTTACCTGTTATGAGGCTAACTCCATCCTCCATGACCCCTGACGTCATATTTTGTAACCCTTGATGTATGCCTATGACCGTTACCTATCCCATAGCTCACTGCTCTGACCTAGGACCCCACTCCTGTCCCTTCCACAGTTCCACCTTAAGACCCTGGCCATCACTCATCATAGCCCCTGACTATACCCTTGTGACCTTGACCCCATCCTGCACCCCCCATTAGGCGCTGTACCACAGCCCTGCCCCCTGTGCATACTGACCTATCCAGACCCCCACCTCACTTCTGGGACCTCTGCTCTGACCCCATCCCAAATCCTCCCCAGGTCATGTGTTTCCATTGTCCTCTCTCCCCTATGCCCTTCCCATTATCCCCACAGGAACATGGCCAAGGGCGAGAGTCTAATGGGGGAGGTGGCCACAGACTGGATGGACACGGAGTGCCCAGAGGCCAAGCGACTGAAGGTTGTGCCCCCTCCTCTGATTCCTGCCTTCAGGGTCCTGGGTGGGGCCCCAGTGGTCAGTAGGAGAGCCCAGAGGAAGTCACCTGAATCCTTAAGCTCAGGTCTGCCTTGGTCAGGCTCTATGTTTGATGCCTAAAGGCTCTTAAGTGCCCTGGCAGGCTGGCTAAGGATATTCTGTCCTGTTTCCATAACATCACTCATACCTTTTGGAGCATGAGTCTAAAATTTATTAGGTTCCTGCTAGAGACACAGGTGCTGTGCTTGCGAAGTTAAATCAATATATTTGTGTGTGACTCTTTGGTCCTGATACCTCATGATCATATTCATGTCCACAGATTAATACTGATCCTTGAAGGACCCCCATGCCCCCACATTTTTTTTACCAGTGATTTGTATTTTCCAGAATACAAGTTTTGCATTTATTCTGTTAAAATTTAGTTCTAAATATTTTATTCTTCTTGATCCTGTTGTCAGTAGAATTGTTCTTTTAATCTCATTTTTGGTGTGTTAATGTCTAGTGCATGGACAGGTATGTGCTAACAGGTGCGATACTCTGTCTCTTCCTTGATCACCCACCTTAAGGTCCCAGTGCTTCCCTCCTTCCAATTTGGATTAAAATCCCAGTGTTTCCTCTTATGAGTTCTCTGAGCTCCAGTATGTCAATTTCCTGTTTCCTCATCTAGGAAACAATCAGGTTTTGGGGGCTGTGTGTACGTTTTCATGAGGAAACCTGTGGGGATGCCCAGACTGCCCCTCTAACTGTCTCTCTTCCAACTCATGAGAATCTGGGTCCTTATGCCTCCAGGTGGAGGAGCCTGGTGTGGCGGCCGAGGATGCTGTAGATTGCCGCCAGTGGACTCAACACCACCTGGTTGCTGCTGACATCCGGGTGGCACCAGCCATGGCATTGACACCACCGCAGGGTGATGCAGATGCTGATGGCATGGATGTCAATGTGCGAGGCCCAGGTAAGTGATGGCACCCCCTCCGTATGCAAGATGCCCCTTACTTGTCCTTGTAAGAATTTGTATCTGGGTCTGTGTTCTGGGGAGAGCTATGTGTGTCCAGGTGTTTGTCTGTGGGGCTGTATGTTAATTAGGGCTCTTGGTTGTATGTGATAATAGCCCAACTCAAACTAGCTTAAGTAAAACAAGGCATTTACTGGCTCTTGTACCTGGAAGTATCAGGCACATTTAGATCCATGATTTACCACCTCTTTGCTCCAGCCCAGGCAGGCTTTCTCCTGGGGACACCTTGGTTACAGGCAGGACTAGCCTTACAAAACCTTTTTCCCTGTCTGCACCAGCAAAAGTCCCAGGATGAGTTCTGATTGGTCAGACTAGGGTCACATGCTCATCCCTGAACCAATCAGTGTGACCTGAGGGCTGGAATATGTAGATTGACCAGGCCTGGGCGACATGCCTGTCCCTGAAGGAGAGGGTTCAGCTCTACCCAGAGTTTGAGGCTGGGAATGTGGTGTAAGTGTCTCCCAAAGTGCACCAGGGCAAATGCACATGCATAGTGCAGCAGACTGTTATCTAGATCCTGTTGCATTAATCTTTGCCGTATTTCAGGTTATTCTTCCCCCAGCTCCATTTTGCTTTTGCTCGAAATGGCCTGCAACTGTGGCTCTTATTTGAAGTCCGTCAGTGGTTTTATTTCCCTAGGGGCGCTCTTAACCAGTGGGTGTGGGCGTATGAAAGGCACAGCTCCTTTGCCTCCAGCAGTATGATAACACTAGATGTGGTAGCTTCTAGAACACCCCTTTGGGATCAGACTGAAATAACCCAGTGAGAATTTGTCTGAGGTGCATGCTTCTTTGACTTCCTCCCTCCTTTGTCTTGTATCCCCTTGTGCCTAGGAGCTCTTCTGTGACAAATCACATGCCCATGAATCCTCATCCTGGGTTGGCTTCTGGGGCACTTGACACAGCGTTTGTGCAGATGTGCATGCATGTGTCCCACTTCCTCCTCCTGCAGTGCCCTCAATAGGATTCCCTGGAAAGGCCTCTGTGTCCATCTCCCTTGAGATATGCCCCTGTTTATTACAGATGGCTTCACCCCATTAATGCTGGCCTCCTTCTGTGGGGGGGCCCTGGAGCCGATGCCGGCTGAAGAGGATGAGGCAGAAGACACGTCAGCAAGCATCATTTCAGATCTGATCTGCCAGGGGGCCCAGCTCGGGGCACGGACTGACCGCACAGGCGAGACAGCCCTGCACCTGGCCGCCCGTTATGCCCGGGCCGATGCAGCCAAGCGGCTGTTGGATGCTGGGGCAGACACCAATGCCCAGGACCACTCGGGCCGAACCCCCCTGCACACAGCTGTCACTGCCGATGCCCAGGGTGTTTTCCAGGTGAGATGGGTCTACCCCTTTTGACCTTAGAGCTGGGACAGGCATCAGAAAGATCTGGGTTCAAACCCCACTTCTGTCTTTCAGAGCTCACTTTCCTCATTTGTAAAAGGGGGATATATGGGAGTACAGTTTCTGGAAAGTAGCTGCTCCCTGAACCTCATTGATTCTAGGGGAAATGGGGGTTGGTGACCTCTAAGGGCTTAGAGGTGCTCTTGGTCCCCATGTGCCTGTCATGACTACCCCTGCTGCACCCCCTCTCCCCTAGATTCTCATCCGGAACCGCTCCACAGACCTGGATGCCCGCATGGCGGATGGTTCAACGGCATTGATCCTGGCGGCCCGCCTAGCGGTGGAGGGCATGGTGGAAGAGCTCATTGCCAGCCATGCTGACGTCAATGCCGTGGACGAGCTTGGTAGGTTGGTGGTAGGGGGGGATAGTTGTGGCGGGGGTGGGGGGCTGAGAGGGTGTCACGTGGACCCTGACTGTCTTGTTGAACTCACACCCATGTTTCGACCCAATCACTGAAGTTCATGTACACATAACAGGGCTTCAATATGGACTTACACTCTCATGCATGTTTTATTTTTATTAGTTTTTTTTTTATGGCATTCACTAGCCCTTAGGGCCCATCAATGATTTAGAAAAAGGCACCCTTCCCCAAGACACTTCATTTCCAACTAAATACTTTGTTAGAAGAACTTACTCTGCTGCCCTGCTGGGCAGCTGGTGTAATACATTTGTAAATTGGTCAAACCTGTAGTGGTGACTCCTCCTTCCACAGAGGTGGCTTGCTTGCACAGAATCTGCATAGTTGTGCAGACTCACCACCTGTCCTCATGTTACGGATGTAGATATACACTTAGATATGCACAGAAATCCTTTGGAGCAGGTGTTCTCAACCTTGGTACCATTGACATTTGGGGTCGGTTCATTTTTGGTGGTGGGGCTGTCCCTTGCAGTATAGCATGTTAAGCAGTACCCCTGGCCTTGAACCACTAGATACCAGTAGCACCCCACCTACCAGTTATGACAACCAAAAATGTCTTCTGACATTGCTAAATGCCCCTGGCAGGGTAAATCACCCCTGGTTGAGAAATATGGCTCGAAAGGAGCACTGTCCAATAGAACTTTCTGTCACGATAGAAATAGTCTCAGTCTGTGTTATGCAATATGGTAGCCACTGGCAACACATGGCTATTGAGTCCTTGAAATGTGGCTAGGGAGGATGAAGAGCCAAATGTTTTATTTCATTTAGTGTTTTAACCTTTGTTTTGTCTGCTTTGAAAAACAAGCTTTATTGAGATATAATCCACATACCATTCACCCATTTAAATAAAACTAACTGGCTTTTAGTATAATCACATAGTTGTGCAAATATCGTCACCATAAATTTTAGAACATTTCTATTACCTGAGAAAGAAACCCTCGTCTCTAAGCCATCACCTCCCCTTCCAATCCCCCTCTGACAAACCCCTCAGCTCCCCAGCCCCTGGCGACCACTAATATACTTCTTGTCTCTATGGATTTGCCTATTCTGGATATTTCATATAAATGGACTCATACAGTATGTGGTCTTTTTTGACTGGTTTCTTTCACTTAGCGTAATGTTTTCAAGGTTCACGAATGTTATAGTATGTATCAGTATTACTTGTTTTTAATGACCGAATGATATTTTATTGTATGAATATACTACATTTTGTTTATCATTCCATCCTTTGATGGACATTTGGGTTGTTTCTACTTTTTGGGTGGTTTCTACTTTTTATGAATAATGCTGCCATGAACATTTGTGTACACGTTTTTGTGTGGACGTATCTTTTCATTTTTCTTAGGTAGATGGATACCTAGGAGCAGAATTTCTGGGTTATATGACAACTGTTTAAACTTTTGAGGATCTGCCAGATTGTTTTCCACGGCGGGTGCCCCATTTTTCATTTTTACCAATAGTGTATGAGGGTTCCAATATCTCCATATCCTTGCCAACACTTTTTATTATCTGTCTTTTTGTTTATAGCCACTTCTAAAGGGTGTGAATTGATATCTCATTGTGGTTTTGATATTTATTTCCCTGATGGCTAATGACATTGAGCATCTTTTCATGCACTTATTGGCCATTTGAATATCTCCTTTGGAGAAATGTCTGTTCAGATTCTTTGCCCATTTTTAAAATTGGATTATTTGTATTTTTTATTATTGAGTTAAAAGAGTACTTTTTATATTCTATGTATGTCTCTTATCGGATATGTAGTTTATAAATATTTCTCCCAGTTTGTAGGTTTTATTTTCATTTTTAATGTCCTCAGAAGCACAAAAGTTTAAATTTTGTTGCTGTCCAATTTATCTGTTTTTGTTATTATTGTTGCTTGTGCTTTTGGCGTCATATCTAAGAATCCTTTGCCTAATTCAAGGTTGTGAAGATTTACTCCTATGCTTTCTTTTAAATGTTTTATAGTTTGAGCTCTTACATTTAGGTCTTTGATTCATTTGAGTTATTTTTTGTATATGGTGTGAGGTAGGGGTCCAGCTTCATACTTTTACATGTGGAGATACAGCTGTCCCAGGATCATTTGTTGAGAAAGCTGTCCTTTCCCCATTGAATGGTCTTGGTGCCTATTTTATTTAATTTAAATCTAAAGAATGTTGCTGCACTGGACAGCACATCTCTAGCTACTAACAAGTGAGGGCTTCACAGTTTCCCCTGTGTATGAAGAATCACATGAACAAGTGTGCACACACAAGTACAGTGTCTCCCTTGGAAAGGTCTGCACACACACACAGACCCAAATACAGGTGCTCAGATATTCATGGCAGGTCTGCTTCTCTACCCCCCCTCCAGGCTATATTCTGGGCACTTCCTGCTTTCCTGCCTTGGGGGCCAGGACATGAACCTGATTCTGACCCTGACCTCTCCCCTCTCCCACCAGGGAAATCAGCCTTACACTGGGCCGCAGCTGTCAACAACGTGGAGGCTACCTTGGCCCTGCTCAAAAATGGAGCCAACAAGGACATGCAAGATAGCAAGGTGAGCCCTAACCCTTGGCCCACCTGGGGGTCAGCCCTGCCGCAGCCCCCCACAGGGAGCAGAGAACAGGGTGGGGTAGGCTAGTGGGGGCATTTACCTTGCCTGCAGCCAGCTTTCAAGAGTGGGATTTGGGCCCAAGAGGCTCCAACAGTAGATCAGAGGAGGAAGTCTGTGGCAGTTGCAGTGTGACCTTGGGTAAGTTACTTACCTCCCCTGAGCCTCTGTTCTCATCTGTGAAAGTGGGGAAGCAGTAGTACCCATCTCATTGCCTCTTCCGACGATTCAGTGAAGTAATGTGCTTAACGGATCCTCAGTAAATGGTAACTATCGTGGTTGTTGCTTAAAAAACCTAGCAAGGTGGTATTACTCTCCTCATTTCACAGATGAGAAGAATGAAGTTCAGAGAGGTACAGGGGTGAATTCTATCCTTTTAAAAAATGTCCATATTTTATTTGTTATGGACTTTTTTTTGCGTTAATTTACATTTTCAAAACATTGCATTAAAATATTTTGATGGCTGAGGTTTTTATCGCCCCATTAAATTTCGTACCTAAGGCGAGTGCCTCACCCTAGTCCTGGCTCTGGGGCCTGGAGCTTTAGTGCTCCATGAATGTGGGTCACAGGAAAGAATTTGCCCAGGCTCCTGGGTCAGAGTTGGAATTCTAAGCCAGGTCTATCGGGCTGGAGTGTATGAACTGTAGCTCTCGTGATGTTAACTGGGAGTTCATCCTGGTCCTTGAGATCCTGACGTATTGTGGGTTCTGGGCCTCCCCAGGAGGAGACTCCACTGTTCCTGGCAGCCCGGGAGGGCAGCTATGAGGCTGCCAAGCTGCTGCTGGACCATTTCGCAAACCGTGAGATCACTGACCACCTGGACAGGCTGCCACGTGATGTGGCCCAGGAAAGGCTGCATCAGGACATCGTGCGTCTGCTGGACCAGCCCAGTGGGCCCCGCAGCCCCCCGGGCCCCCATGGTCTGGGGCCCCTGCTCTGCCCACCTGGGGCCTTCCTCCCAGGCCTCAAGGCGGCACAGTCAGGGGGCAAGAAGAGCCGGAGGCCGCCGGGGAAGGCAGGGCTGGGGCTGCAGGGTACCCGGGGCCGGGGCAAGAAGCTGACACTGGCCTGCCCGGGCCCCCTGGCCGAGAGCTCGGTCACACTCTCGCCTGTGGACTCACTGGACTCCCCAAGGCCCTTCGGTGGGCCCCCTGCATCCCCTGGAGGCTTCCCTCTAGAGGGACCCTACACAGGTGCCACTGCCACGGCTGTGTCCCTGGCACAACTTGGTGGCACGGGCCGGGCAGGTCTAGGACGCCAGCCCACTGGGGGCTGTGTTCTCAGCCTGGGCTTGCTGAACCCTGTGGCTGTTCCCCTTGACTGGGCCCGGCTGCCCCCGCCTGCCACGCCAGGCCCCTCATTTCTACTGCCACTGGCACCAGGACCCCAGCTGCTGAACCCTGGGACTCCTGTGTCCCCCCAGGAGCGTCCCCCACCATACCTGGCAGCCCCGGGACATGGTGAGGAGTACCCTGCAGCTGGGGCCCACAGCAGCCCTCCCAAGTCCCACTTCTTGCGGGTCCCCAGCGAGCATCCCTACCTGACCCCATCCCCCGAGTCCCCCGAGCACTGGGCCAGCCCCTCACCTCCCTCGCTCTCAGACTGGTCTGACTCCACACCCAGCCCGGCCACTGCTACTGGGGCCACAGCTACAGCTGCTGGGACACTGCCTGCCCAGGCGCTCCCCCTGTCTGTCCCTGGCCCCTTGGCTCAGGCCCAGACCCAGCTGGGGCCCCAGCCTGAAGTTACCCCCAAGAGGCAGGTGTTGGCCTGAGACGCTTCTCAGTTCTTGGATTTTGGGGGTCTGTAGAGATAGCCCATCCTTACTCTCTTTTTGTTCACTTTCCTTTAATCCTTTTCATCCTCTTCTCTCTCTTCACCAACCCTCCTGTACCATCCCACCTTGCAGTGTGACCGACGTAGGTCACCAGTCTAGGGCTTCAGTCTTCCTTTATTTATAAGGGGTGTGGGCTGACCCCAACCCCCTGGGTCTTGTGATGAGTCTGGGACCTTCTCCTGCCCTCCCCTCTATCTGCTCCCCAATTCCCTCATCCCTCCTTTCTTTCTTGCCTCCTCTGACCTCTCTCACTCCTCACGCTCTGACACGAGTGGATTATTATTATTTTTTTTACATTTTGTATAGAAACAAATTCATTTAAACAAACTTATTATTATTATTATTATTTTTTACAAAATATATATATGGAGATGTTTCCTGCCCCCTGCAAACCCCCCAGTACCCCCGAGGGGCTGAGTCTGTGGGCCCATTCGGCCAAGCTGGATTCTGTGTACCGAGTACATGACCCTGGTACGTACCAAGTAGGCACCTTTGGGCTCACCCTCTGGGGCCAGGGGTCGGCAAGATGTGGGAGCCTCCTCCCCACCCCACCTCCCTCACTTCAATGCATTCCAGATGGAACTTGTTCTGTAACTTTGCTGGGGGAAGGGCCCTCCTGCCCCAGAGAACCCACCCCAAACACTTCCCCTACCCTAGAGCCTGGGCCACCTCCCTTTGGGAACTGGGGGATGGCTGGTGGGAAGATGAGGACCAGGGGAGATGTGTGCATTTTATTTTGTCTCCCTGTACATATGGGACTACAAGACAGGAAGGACCTGCCTGAGTGGCACCCCTTCTCCTGGTTCTCCGCACCCAGCCCCATGGCAGAATAGAAGTATTTTTAGGCTATTTTTATAATATGGCTTCTGGTCACAATCCCTGCGTAGCTAAATTCCCAGACCTTGCATTGTACAGTCCCCACTCCCATCATCACCTAATAAAGGAGTAGTTAATGCTCAGTGTCATTGGTCTGTGTCTAGGTAAGGTGGGGTGTGATAGTGGTGGGGCTTCTGTCTCTCCAAGGCTAACTTGAACTCCCATCTTGGGTTAAACCCATTTGGCGTGGCTGCCCACTCATACTTCTTCTTTTGGTAGATGGCATCACTGATTGGATCAGGGGTGGTCACGACTTAGGATGAGCCAATCAGATTCTCTCACTTGAGAACATTGTTTAATGGAGATGCTTAGAAAGCTGTCAGTTGGTGGATGGAGCTTTTAAAGCCACCGGCAGATTAAGAAATATGGGTGGCCAGGGCCGGCCAAGTGGCGCGATGGTTAAGAGCTGGCTTGGGATGCCAGAGGGCCCCGGTTCGGATCCCACATATGAGGGCCAGTGACACTGCCCTCCACAGCTAAGATGCTGAACAACAGCTCAACCTGGAGCTGGGCTGCCGTGAGTCGCCGGCAACAGCGTAGGCTGCAGCCCCTGTGGCAGTGGGTTGCCATGGGCTACCGTGTGTGGCCGGCAGCCAGCGTGAGCGGCCAGCAGCCGCAGTGAGCGGCCGTCCAGAGGCCGGTGACTGATGTGCCTCGCCCTGGAGGAGCGCAGTGATGGTGCCAACTTGGGCCAGTGAGGCAGCGTCCTCCACGACTAGACTGAAGAACAAAAGGACAGCAACTTGTCTGTTCCCCTTCCCCCAATTTCCCGCACTGTTCCCATCCCCCCAATTCCCCAATAAAAAAAAAATCTTTAAAAAAAAAAAGAAATATGGGTGGCCAGTTTGGGGTGGTGGGTTTTCCTGCAAACAGATCAGAAGAATGGAGCAATATGCCGGGAGAATCAGAGATGAGTGCTCAAATAGTTCCAGAGTGGGAAGGAGTATCTCAGTTCCAGAAGAAGTATTAATTCCAGTTAATTGAGCATCATCATTCCATTGACATCACAGGGGTGTTTTTTTTTTTGAAGATTTTATTGGGGAATTGGGGAAGGGGAACAGTCAAGTTGTCCTTCAATCTTATTTGTGGAGGGCACAGCTAACTCATCTCTAAGTCCAGTCGCCATCTGGCTGCCTGTCAGCAGCTCGCGGCCGCTCAGCTCAAGGTGCCAAGTTCAGTCTTAGTTGCGGGTGGACGTAGCCCACCATTGAACTGGCAACCTTGTTAGGAGCACATGCTCTCACCAGCTGGGCCATCCTGCCACCTGTTGGCAGTTCAACGGCAGCTCAGCTTGGGCGCAGCTCACTGGCCCATGTGGGAATCGAAACAGTGACCCTGTTGCTCAGAGCTTGTGCTCCTAACCCACTGAGCCACTTGGCTGGCCCAATATCACATGTATTTATTAATTGCCTTTTAAGTGCCTGATGCTTGTTCTGCATGAAATTCACCTCCACTTCATGTTTCCATGGGGCCTGGAGACAATGCTGTGCTTATGTAATAAATATACTCCTGTACATATACCAGCGTGGGTGATTTCTATGTCTTGCAACTAATTGTGCTCCAAGACAAGGTTGCGTTCACACTGGAGTCCTCCAGAAAGAGAGAATGGGACAATGTTCATTGATTTCCTTGTCACTTGGAGTGCTCTTGGTTGCACGTGACACAACAATCTACCCAGCTGGCTTAAAAAAAGAGAATTTATTAGCTCATATAACTAAAAAGACCAGCTTCAGGGGAGATTTGATCTAGTGGCTCAAATGAGGTCTACAGGGGCTGAGTTTCTCTTCATCTCTACAGATTTTTCTCTGGACATTAGTGTCATCCTCAGGCTCTACATGGTACCCAACCCAATTTCTCTTCCCACCCACACAACTCCAGCCCTCCCTCTGTGTTAGTAAAATAGGTGCAAAGATCATAGACCATATTGCATTTTCCAGGGAATTGAGAAGCTTCTAGCCTGGGGATTAATTTTGTATTGACTCCAATTCGGTCATGTGTGCCTCCTCTAACTGAGGATTTCTCACCGTTGGCACTATTGACATTTGAGGCCAGATAATCCTTTGCTACTGGGGGCTCTTCTGTATGTCATAGGATGTTTAACAGCATCCCTGGCCCCCACCTACTAGATGTCCCTTCTCCATTGTGACAACCAAAAATGTCTCCAGACATTGCCAACTGTTCTGGGGGTAAAATTGCTCGTCAGCACTGCTGCTCTAACCAATCACTATGGCAATGGGATATGGGATGTACTTATTTCTTAAAGCAATCAGTCTGTGCTCTGGAACTGGGGTTGGGGTAAACTGAGGGGCAGTCAGGTTTGCAGAAGCAGGAATTCCGTGGAAGCAACTGAGAAATGTTCCATGCTGCTTCTCAGAGGTTTGTAGTGGGAATGAACCCCGGAGCTGCCACAGGGGTAACTTGCCTGGTGACATATGCTTTATTAACTTCTTTCCCTGTCTTTTCTCATTTCTCCACTCCTCTGCTTGTGTTCTCTGGGACCACCTCCCGAATAAACTTCTACTCAAATCCTTGTCTCAGGGCTGCTTCTTGGGGAGCCCAAGCTATGACTGGGGTTGTTGGTATAGAGCAGGGATGCAAAATCATGAGACAACTCATGTCCGGTCATGGAATTTAACTCATGAGGTTACATTTCTTAGCTAGGACTCCCGTGTTCATTGCAGCACTATTCACATTAGCTAAAAGGATAAATGGATAAAGAAGACGTGTGTGTATCTTCTTTATGCTAGAGACTTGTCTTTCAGGAGGAGTGGGAGTTTGCCAGGAAGCTAAAAGCAGGGGAAGAGAAAGAACATAGAAGGGGCAAAAGAATGTAAAACAGCATGGAGATCTCAGAGGACGGGTCAACACTTTGAAATGGCTTGGTCTACGCCTCACTTCCTTTTTTATTGGTAATTTAATAAATGGACGTGCATCGTTTCGCATGGAACAATGAGTGGATTTGGAACTAGAGAGGGTAGCAGAGGCCAGATCTCTATGGGTCTTGAATGTGAAGATGGGAAATTTTAAACTTGACTCTGAGGGCAATGGGGAGCCATGGAAAGTCCCTGAGTGGAGAGGGAACACAGAGCTCTTATTCGGGCGGCTGGTTCAGAGGACGAACTGGAAGGAAGAGGCGACGCTGCAGGCTTTTGGAACAGATGGAAATGACGCAGCTTGAGTTAGGGTAGGGCTGAAGGGATGAGGAAGACGAGGAGGAAGAGTAGAGAAGATTTGGCAACTAATTAATCCTGGGGAGAATAGGGAGAGGGACTGAGGGGCTGGGGTTATGATGAGAAGTTAAGCCTGGGCAACATTTGTATAATCACAAGTGAACTACTTCTTTCTGCCCCTCTCCCCTTTAATTTGAAGATCTAATTGGCTTTATTTAATGATTCATGAATGGGCAGGATCCTATTTAGCAACTAGAAAGACACTCCTTCCTTCCCCCCTTGAGGGCAGGGCTGGGGATGCTTCTTCCATGGGGTGGCAGCCTTGCTCAGTGTGCTGTGGGCGCCGATGGGCACTGGGAGTGCTGACGGAGTGAGGAGTGCATTTGTGACTTCCATCCATAAAAAAAAGAAATCATAATTAGTCCTTCCCCCACTTTTTGCCATGAGAGTCTGGGGGCCAGGGAAGCAGACCCTGGGGCCTCCAGTTTCCAGAAAGGAAAAACCCACAGGGTATTGCCAGCCTGAGCCCTGGGGGTCTTGTTAGTGACTAAGGGGCCCCCCGGGACAGCAGCTCCAGGGACCCCTTGTATAACAGGACCCAGGTCCTCAGCCTCTCCTCTCTCAGGCAGCGAGCAGAGTGATGCAGTCGGGCACCTCCCCCGGCCATGGTGAGTGTGGATTCAGGGCCTTTGTCTAGCTGGGGAAGCTACCCCAGCCCACCCCTCGGCTCATGTCTGGGCGAGCACATGGAGTGCAAGATGAATGCACACGCATGTGCCTTGAAGGCAGCAGGCACACACACGCACACACGTACCCCGGAGCTTCATGCGCGTGGATGCACACATACTCATATAGTCACTTACCGGCAAGGGCTCAAAGGTGGTAGGGAAGGGGCTTCCTGACGAGAAGAAAGAGGAAAAGGAACAACTTCAGACCTTAATCCAACGTGTTCCTAAATCCCTCACTCTCACAGTGGGGGGTTGGCATCAGCATGTCCCTAAACTCAGCAGCACCCACTGGCTACCACTACGGATCCCACCAAGCAAACAGCTGGCCTGCTGATCTCTATCATGGGTAAAATTTTCATGGGGTTTAGGTATGCAAATATGGAAATTTCTAGCTTTGTAACCTGACTTATTTTTGGACAGGCACTCTCACCTGTCACAAAAAGCAGAATTTGGACACCTTGAGGCAAATTCAAAATCACTGCTTCTCAGCTGTTGCAGGGATAAATTTCAGCCCCATTCAGCGAGTCCCTCTTTTTTCTTCCTTCTCTCTGGGGTGGGTGCAGGGGGCTGGCAGAGATGCCACTTCCATGGTGAGGGTGGACAGGGGCTTGGCTGTCTTTATGAGTCTACCATGCTGGGTGTGTGTCTGTTCCCCGGCATTCCCTGACATAAGCAGAGTTCCTTCTGACTCCTGGCTGGACCGGTCTCAGCCCACCCTCCTGATGTAGCTCTGCCAGCTCCCACACCCTGCTCTTTTTCTCACACCCACGTCTTAACCTATCAGGAAATTCAGTGGGCTCCACCTGTACAATCTTTTTCTCACACCCACGTCTTAACCTGTCCGGAAATTCAGTGGGCTCCACCTGTACAGAATTGGCCACCTCGCACCACTTCCATGGCCCTCACCCTGGTCCAACTCCCATCCTGTTTCACCTGGACCAGCCTCCTCCTTGGTCTCCTGGCTTCCACTCATGTCCCCCCCAACTCTGTTCTCCCACAGGGGCCAGAGGGAATCTGGGAACACCTGAGTCAGGTCATGGTCATGTTCCTCCTCTGCTCAGAGTCCTCCATGGCTCCCACATCACTCTGCATACAAGTTGAAGTCCTCACTGCAATCCACAAGACCCTACTCACATGCCCCCATCACCTCCACACCCTCACCTTCCTCCCTCTCACTCACTTCCT